TAGGAAGAGCCAGGTTTAATTCCTAGCTGAACCAAAACATCGACTATGGAGATAAAATGGAAGAGGGGTATGCCCAAAGCACTAAAGTTGAGTTCTTTAGAAGAAAGACAAGACGTGAAGATAATAAATGCCCAAGTAAATAAAGATAGATAGATAGATAGATAGATAGATAGATAGATAGATAGATAGATAGATAGATAGATAGATAGATAGATAGATAGATAGATAGATAGATAGATAGATAGACCATTACTGTCATTTTTTACTGTGGGCACATTGGCACACATTAAAAATGAAAATAAACATAGAAAATAAAATGAAATAAACCAGCTGGGTATATAGATTATCTATGTAGCAATACCAGATAATAACTGTTGATAGGCTTATCTTTTTATTGGACAGAACATAAGTTAATAATAAAGAGTAAGCAAAAGCAGTTCCCTTGTTTGTTAGTTCACCTACCCATACCTAACTGTCCCATTGACCCAGCTTCCACTCACTAGCATTACTTCTAGGGGAGAAATGCTGCCCCCTTGTGGAGAGGGAAGAAAGGACATTTCTGCTAAAAAAGATATTTTAATCTACTACATGCTCTACGCACCTGCTCCAAGTGCCAAACCTTATGCCAGTTCAGATGCAGATCTTCTCTCTGCCCACAGTCCAGGCAGTTACTCAGATCTTTTGACTTCTTCTCACTCCAACACAGAGCTTCCCAGAAGAGGCACCAGCAGGGCTGAGGGAACCAGCAGCACTAGTTGTCCCATGGACGGGGACTAAAACCGCACATGATCTGGTCTCTCGGTGCCTCTGTTGCTTTTCTCTGTTTCTCAGCCTCCTTCCCTCCTAAATTCCAATATTTTTCCTTCCAGAAAGCAGAGCTGCGTTTACAAAAACAGCCTGATTTTTTTTTCGGTGAAAAGGAAAAAAGTCCCCAAACAACAGCAGACTGAAGTCAAGTGGCTTCTCCTCCAGCTGCAGTCCTTGGCCTCGTTCCAAGGCAAACTCCGCTCCATAATTACACAATTCAGAAGAACGGCCCCATGCTGATTTAAAGGGCCAGAGATCCAGATCTCCCAGACCGGCCTGGTTCAACTCCAGAGATCATCCCTGAATGAAATCACACGAGGTGACACCTTGGAACAGAGCAGGTGTGCGCATATGCATCCAAGGAATCAACTCTCAAAAAGCTTTCCTGGATTGAATTTCAGGATATCAGAAATTGGTCCCACAGAAGAGGCAGATGTGACCTCATTTGGTTTCCTTCCTGTTTCCATTATCCTGCAAAAAAAAATCCCAATCTGGATCCCCGTAACATCTTTGGACAATGCATCAGTGCTTTTGCCTCTGATTAAATTGTAAGGTGTGGAAATGATCTATTGGAGTGAATATAAATGGCAGCCATCCAGGCTGAAAACAGATGGAGATAGCTAGCAAGGTTAGAGAGGAAAGAGTCCTAGTGAACCATCTAAGGAAGAACACCAGATACTATAACCCAACCGTTCCAATTTGGTGGCTTCTAGACATCCAGGAACTGTATTTCTCACAATCTCCCAGAAAGTCTGAAGATACTGTTACAGTCAGTGGTGGGATTCAGCCAGTTCGCACCACTTCGGCAGAACCGGTAGCTAGTTTTTTGTTGCCCAGGCCCAGAATGGACTTCCAGAAGCGGCATCCACACAGAGAACCGGTTGTTCACATATTTGAATCCCACCACTGGTTATAGTACTGCTGAAGCTAAACAAGAAACTAAGAGAGGAAACCACTGCAAATGCATGTTGAGGACTGGTTTCTTCAAGGGATGGTTGGACAGTACACAAAATAGGAATCTGGGTGAAACCAAGCTAGCTAAAGTAAAGGTGGGACATATCAGATTTGGGAAGGAAGGAAGGAAGGGAGGGAGGGAGGGAGGGAGAAGGAAGGAAGGAAGGATACATGGGGGAAAATAAGTGTGAGAGATCTTTTGTTTTAGAAAATACACAAAGTTACACTGGGCTAGAAATATTTGATAATTCTTTTTTCTTTAGTTTAATTGTGTCTGGTTGTGTTCCTATTTGGGAATCCACAAGGGAAGCCTTAGTTCAGGGGTAGTCAACCTTGGCTCTTTTATGACTCGTGGACTTCAACTCCCAGAATTCTGGGAGTTGAAGTCCACGAGTCATAAAAGAGCCAAGGTTGACTACCCCTGCCTTAGTTGAAAACATAGAACTTCATATATTGAGAGCTTAAAATGCTTGAATTTCTCTCTTCCTTGCTCCCACCCATAACTAAAGGTCTGTTTGTAAACCCAAAAGGCTCCAGTTACATTCACCAGCAACTCTGGAGGTCCCCCTGAGGTCATCCCAGTTGACCCTTACCGCTTGAATCATGCCTTTCCCCCATTAACTACAGCTGTCCTTGCTGGTGTCATCCTCTGAGTGAACATGGCCCTTGAGAGTGAACAGACCTTGGCCGTCCAATCCTTCTCTCCCGGAATTCAACTGAGACTGAAGCCAGGGACTTTGTGACAATTGCCGTCTCTCTCCAGCAGCTTCCCTGTCTCGTCCCTCCTGCCATGTCAGCTTGCCTGACAGCAAACTATCTGTAGGGGGGGGGAATCCCAGCCTGAAAGCAAAGAGAAGCCAAAGGACCCCTCCATCTTCCTCCAGCAAGTTCTTCTCTTCAGTTTCTGGGGATAGTCCAAAGCTGACAGAGCAGCTCACTGAGATAGCACAGGTTCTATAGACAGAAGTTCGTACAATGTATCTTTATGTATGGGTGCATTGCACACCCACACACCCACCTATGAAACCCCAGTGCCGGGGGGTGAGGTTACCAGCAGGGAAAGGCTACATTATTGGTTGATGAGGGAAATTGGCTAGAAGCTGCTTGTGTGCCAGATTCCCTGGAAAAAATAATGAAGCCAGGATAAAGAGAAAATTCCTGACAGTCAGAACAATTAATCAGTGGAACGACTTGCCTCCAGAAGTTATGGGCGCTCCATTACTGGAGGTTTTAAGAAGAGATTGGACAAGCATTTGTCTGAAATGGTATGGGCTTTCTTGCTTGAGCAGGGGTTGGACTAGAAGACCTCCAAGGTCCCTTCCAGCACTGTTATTCTGTTAATTAACTCCGATCGCCTCTTTTTTGAAACTGATCACTTGGATGTATCCAAAACGCATTTCAGTAAAAAGCTTTGAGTAAGCTTTTCAATCTCAACTTTGTGGTGAAAGATAAGGAGTGGGCACTTATGTTCTCCTTTCTCAGTGGTTGTAACACCTGGTGGACACTTCCATAGGTGAATAGCCATTAGATTTTAACCCCATCTTAAGCACTCTGGCAGTTCAACTGAAGCTCCCACGAATGGGGTAAAAGAGCACCCATTAAAGTTATTTTCCTTTTATTCCTCTCTTCCCTATGCACATTGATGCACGAGATAGGGAAATTGTTTTTTCCCCTTTCAAAATTAATAACCCTCCATGCAGCGATTACATTGAAGAAGAAATGAGACTTTTGCTCCACTAGCTTGGAATATGCTGTAGATTCAAACAATGAGCAGTTTGACAAAACTAATAAGTAGAAAGAGGGTGAAGGGTCTATAATTAGGGAAATAAGGGTGGGATAGAGGCGGCTGATCCCACAAAATGCAATTGTCTGAAAGGACTGGATTCCAGAAAGAGATGGTAACTAGTTTTCTTTCGTAGGAATGTGAGGTTCTTCGTATTTTATCATCCCAAGCAGTGACCCATATAACTTATGGAATAGAGCAGATTTTGGGTGAGAAGCCCAGTAATGAGCGCACACACACATATATATCTATCTATCCAGACATACAGGGAAATGGCCCTGATGTTGCAATAGCATCCCCACATGTACAACAAATAGCTTTACAGTACTGCTCCATAACAGCTCAGCAGTAATTAAGTTTTATCTTTGGTTTCGTCCCTTCGTTTTTTGCAATCGGTGTTCAGGAAATTCTTGCACTTTAAATCAGGGAATTCGTGCAATGTATTCAGAACTTATAAACAAAGATACCTTTGCTGATGTCAGAGTATGTCTCCTGTTTATCTTAGCCCTTTCTTAAGAAATCAGACTCTACATGGGGACATCTTTTTTAAAAAAAAACAAAACAAAAAACTGGAGGGGAATCTTGAGAGGGACCAAATGACTCATCCGTAGCAATCTTATCGGATATTTCCATAAAATCCTAGCAAGCTGAAATGTGAGTGAGAGGGAACTCCGAGATACCTCGAGCATAGAAAAATCTGAAAGTACGTATCTTTTTTATAGGCCATGACAAAACAAAACAAAAATCAGTTACAAAATACCATGGATAAATAAAAGCAATGGAAGCAATCACATATTATAGGGACAATCAAACTAGTGTCTTCCAGATATTTGGCAGTATATCTCCTAAAATTCCTGTTCCTGCTGGCCAGGACTTGTGGAAGATATAGTTCAAGGCATCTGGAAACCAGATGGTTTCCTTTTTTGTTCCAGCTTCCATTCTCTCCTCTTTTCCTTTGTTTCCACTCGCCTCTCACTTGGGGTGCCTTTTTCCTACTGTTGAGTTTTAGCTGCTTCAGAGCAGTCTAACATCCTGCAGTGATCTCAGAAGCAGATCAATAAACATAATGCTTTCCTTCTTCAAAGTGGGATCCTCAAAGAGCAGCCTCAGAAGTGGTTTAAAATGTTTTTGGAAAGCAAAGGGAAACTTGTACAGGCAGCATTCTGCCCCGAAGAATAACAGCATAGGTTGTGAAATATGGTAGAGAAGGGTGGCACGCCATTCCAGCTGAGGACCAACAGACCCACACAAGGAATGGAATGTCATCTGGGGGAGTTCTGCTGCTCCTTTGCACCCTTGAGTGACTTTTTGTGATGTGGAGTTAGAACAGTCAGAGGAAATGAACATGTACGCTCTCAAAAATGTAGGATGAATTAAACAGGATACAAAATACGATACAAAAAACCTGCAAAAGTTTCCATTTTGGGCACCCGACCAAACGTTTCCCAGCACTTACCTTGGCTTCACATTTTTTATGGCTTGCCATTTTGCACACTGCAAGAGAAAAAAGAAAGGAAAAGTTCAGATCTTGGGCAACTGTAAACATGAAACATGTTCTGATGCTTTGATCCCAAGATCCTGAAGTTGAAACTCAAGTACTTTGGCCACCTAATGAGAAGGAAGGACTCACTGGAGAAGAGCCTAATGCTGGGAAAGATTGAGGGCAATAGAAGAATGGGACGACAGAGACTGAGGTGGCTGGATAGAGTCACTGAAGCAGTAGGCGTGAACTTAAATGGACTCCAGAAGATGGCAGAGGACAGGAAGGCCTGGAGGAACGTTGTCCATGGGGTCGCGATGGGTTGGACACGACTTCACAACTAACAACAATAACAGGGTAGTCTTCAACAACAGTTCGTTAGTGGCTGTTTGAAGTTACAACAGCACTGAAAAAAATGACTTATGATCATTTTTCACACTTACAACCGTTGACGCGTCCTCATGGTCACGTGATCAAAATTCCAAGGCTTGGCAACTGACTCATATTTATGACGGTTGCAGTGTCCCGGGGTCACATGATCCCTTTTTTTGCCACTTTCTGACAAGCAAAGTCAATGCGGAAGCCGGATTCACTTAACCATCGTGTTAAGTGAATTTAATAGCCGCAGTGATTCACTTAACAACTGTGGCAGGAAAGGTTGTAAAATGGGGCAAAACTCACTTGGCCAATGTCTCATTTAGCAACGGACATTTTGGGCTCAGTTGTGACCGTAAGTCGAGGACTACCTGTATCTTAGTTTTTACAGAGCAATACTGTAAAGCATGCTGGGTGAAGCTACATTTCAGGTATGGGGGGGGTAACACCCTCCCTTTATTATTTTATTTATTTATTTTATTATGCAGTGAAATCCATAATAAAAAACACCCAGATTAATGAAATGGTAGTCCTGGTGGGCACTACTATAAAGAAGACGGAACCAAAGCTTTGCCTTTACAAAGCCCTTTTCCCGCATTTTCGCACAATATAAGGAATACAAATGAGCCAACGACAGAAAAACATCCTACCTCTGCACACAAGCCCTTGGGCTTCTATGGATTCCTTGCAGACTATACATGCCTTTTTCTTCTTCTTAAAAACCTTCTCTTTGAAGTTGTGAGGCTCCGACACCTTCCCAGGCTGAAATGACAAACAAGGGCAGAAATGTGGGTGGTGCGTCATTTATTTTGCACAGACCAATGGAGGCAGCTTCCTACAGACACACTTGTGTGATGCTATCATGAAGCTTTCACCAACACAAGGCTTTCCAGTACGTTGAGAGATGTCAATTTCCAGAATTCCACCTGGCAACTGCACATCAGATTTCTGACATACTTCATATAAATTCTACTGAATTCTCTTTTGTGTGTGTTTTATACACAAGGCCCCTTCTGAACATTAACTCTCATCTTACACTCAGTATTGGAAAAGGCCCCAAAGACTTGTATTGTCATGGTTTAAAATCCATGCCAAATTCATGTCCGTCTCCAACAATTTGGATATTCATCCAATCCAGAAAAGAGTAAGTGAAGTTTATCTGCTAGGGTTCCCTTACTTATTTTGAGTAGATATGGATTGTGGTACATTATAATCAACGAGAGACAGACAGTATTATGAGGATGAGGTTGGAACAATTTAATTGAGAAAAAGAAATCTAAAGAGAGTATCAATATATTTCTATTTTATTATCTACATTATTTTTAATTTCTCAGTGCTTTACTCTTTCATTTATAATGTACATACTGGCACATCATGCTATGAAAGGTAACTGAAAATAAATTGGGGATTTCTTTGCACAACACGGAATTAACTTTAGCATATTTCACAAGATCCAGCAGTAAGAACCAGCTTAGACGCCTCTTTTGTTTTTTTTAGGATTAAGCACATTCATAGAGGTCAGACTTGCCAACTACTATTAACCTTGTCATAAAATAAAAGCCCCTGTTAAGAGATAATGTGTCTCCAACAGCCCTAAGCAACAGGGAATTGATTTCTCCATCCTATTTCCCCTCTTTCTAAACATATTTGTTGCTCAACCTCTGTTGGAACAAGTTAGAAAGATGCAGCTCAATTATATCTTAGCCATTATAACTGTATTTCTGCTCAACAATTATAACAGCCCATGACTAGAGGAGCAGTTCTAAAACCAAAAGGATATATTTTACTTTTAAGCAGTACATGTCTTTCGCAGATGAAGCATTAACGTGTGTGAGAGCCTTAGTTTGTTTTAACTATGGCTTACTAAAGTACCAACTATAGTCACTTGATCAAATGCAACTAAACCATAAATCATGGATTATAACCCCAACTAACTAAGGCACTGGGCTAGAAACCAGGAGCCTGTGCTTTCTAGTTCCACCTTAAGGATGAAAGCTGGCTGGGAGCTCTTGAGCTAATCTCTCTTTCTCAGCCCAATCTATCTCACAGGGTTATTGTGGTGGGGAAAATGAAAGGAGAAAGGAGTACAATATTAGATATGTTCCCAGCCTTGACTTATTTATAATAATAATAATAAAGGCAGGATAAAAATTTAATAAATAAATACTGTATTACGCTACTTTAATGAAAATTGCTTAATAATTTTGAGACAAGATTCATGCAGCATACTGAAGCACATTTCATGATTCATCATTCACAGTGTTACATTAGCCCATCACAATGAGCCAAAACAAGCCAACTCCATTGTGGTGCGATGCAACATGCGAACACAATCTCCGTTACAACTTTTTAAAGGTGGTGCTTGCACGCAGCACTTTATCGCAATGGGTATAAAAAAACACACCCATGCGCATAGACATCCACACTCGTGCATATACCTATTGCCTAATTATGTCAGAACTTTTTTTAAAAAAAATGAAGCAATCAATTAAAATCAAATTAAAGCTATAGCTCTACAGATGTCAAACTGACCCATCAAACTAAAATTTGCTTAGCTAAATCCATGGATGAGTGTTTGTTCTATAATGTGCAAATTCTTGCAAAACACAAACTCAAAATTAATCCACTCTCTTGAGAAGGAACAGAAGATGACTGGGAACATTGTGACATGCCAAATAACAATAACAACTTTGCTGAACATTTCTCCACAAAATGCAAGCCTTGCATACACTCTTCACAAATTTCAAGAATGTGCGTGCTAAGGGTTCATGAGATAAATCTTCCTGAAATGCTGGGTGCCAGGTCAACAGTCAATGTTCTGTTGGACGCAGCTACATATAAACCAGATTAATGTATTTTCTCAAACTAAACAAACAGAAGGAACAAGAGCTGCTGTTTTTCTCCCTATTTAAGACTTGGGAGAAGGTGAGGGAAGGCAATAAACAGTTTCAACCTTAGCCTGAGGTTCAGTGCCTCTGTACATGTATTTGGTGGCACAATCATAATTTTTATTTACAGGACAAACGAACTGACAACCCTTTGCAGAGTTTTAAGGAGTCTTGCTGATATGTCAGGTACGGTTATCAGACATCCAACAAAAATTAGGACATGACTCCTTATTATCCTCATGTCCTCTATCCCAGGGCTTTTCAACCAGTGGTATGGGTACCACCTGTGGTACATTGGTACCTGGCAGGTGGTACGCGAGCATCCTAGAAAAGTGGTAGCGGGGGAGGGGAATGAGTTGAACTGGTGGCAGCACCGCACAAGCCTGAGCGAGAGATGGCTGGAGCTGCAGGGCTGTCAGGGCTCAGCGGAAGCGGCAGGATCAACACCAGGCTACAGCTGGAGCTCGGCGCTGATCCTGGCGCTTCCACTGACCCCAGAAGAAGTGCCAATCAGCTGGAATGTTGCAGCATCTCCAGGGTCTTGTGATTTACATTCAGATGCTTGGCAACTGATTCATATTTATGACGGTCACAGTGTCCCAGGGTCATGTGAAGTGACCAAAACCTGCTGCAACCACCCAGCAGACGGGGGGATAAAAACCAAACACCCCCCACCCCACCCCCGCTGCCAATCCTCAACAGAAATACAACAATAAAAACCTCGGACAGGAGGAAGAGCCCGGGCGGGCAGGCAGATGTCTTGCTCGGCTGTGGGCTTGGGGGCACTTTTTTCAGTGCCATTGTAACTTTGAACAGTCACTAAGTGAACTGTTGTAAGTCGAGGACTACCTGTACTTCAGCACTTTTTTTCCTTTTTTTTTTTGGTCATCATGTTTTTGACACCTTGCTAGGCGACTGGTGGTACTTGGATATTGCCATTTCCTAAAAGTGGTACAATGGGTGAAAAGGTTGAAAGGCCCTGCTCTATCCCGCAGGAATAACTTTAAAATTAAATATTGTTTGACATTTTGAATATCCTGGGATTTTGGGGAAGAGCAGGGACCATTCGCATAACATTTAGCATACATTTAATAAATAAATGTAGTTATTCAAACTTTTGCGTACTGCAACTAGACAGACTCCGCAGCCTAGATGTATGTTATTTCCTAATTCCAGCCTCTTCAAGATCAATGATCACGGCAGTCTGTAGATCACATAATGAGTCATATTATTTCTATACTGAAACGTGAAAAGTGTGCCACTGTCGATGCTATATTGCCATAGCACTTGTTCTCGAAAAGATATATTTGGTTGAAAAATATTATAATTGGAAAACCCGTCTTTCTGATGCTAGAAAAAGTAATTTCATATGTGTATAGACCCAAGTACTTTTTTTTTTTGCAGTTTTTCAGTGAAATATTTGTTGCAGATGCCAAGAAAGTTAAACAGTTAGCAGATCCTCCTTTTCCCTCATTTGCCCTCCTTTCTAATTGTCCATGTCCTCCTTTGCTGTTCAGATATCTGATAACTCTAGGAACAGGGTTTTCTCTCTAGTAGAACTGTAATTACAAAATACGGTTCCAGAGATGTTGATCCAATGAGTTTCTTCTGATCATCTTTTAAGGTTTTAAGGCAACGAAGATGAGAACGTAACTATAGGCCTGCAGGGCAATGAGGCTGGTTATCCCAATGATTGCTGCCAAAGAAGCTAGAAAGATCTATTCAGAGTGGAAGAGAAGATAAATCTGAAACCAGAAGACTTTGGCTGTGCTCTGGGGATAATAGGAAGGCTGTGTCATGAGGTCATGTCCTTTAGGATTAGTGAGGTTCAACTGCAGCCTGACCATCATCAACAGTATTGCTATTTTGGCAGGTCCATTTCAGTCCACTTCCAATGATCTGAATCATGGAGTTTGACTTCTTTTGCAGCACCCAGTGTTTATTTTTTCATTGAGCTGTCCACCATGACTCCAAAGTCCCATTCCTGGTCAAAAACTGCCAGCTTAGATCCCATCACTGTATTTGAAAAGTCTGGGTTTTTTTTTTTTAATGCAATCACTTTGTTCTTGCTTATATTCGATTGTATTTGTCACCTCGAGACCCATACATCCAGTTTGCAAAGATCTTTGCGGAAATTGTTCTGTAATTTTCTACAGTCTGACACCAATACCCTTGTCTAATTCATTACTTGCTCCCACACATTGCATAAATAAATTAAAAATAATGGTCCTAATATCAGTCCCTTGGGGATCTCTCTTCATGTTGAAAATGGCCCATTAATTCCTACCCTCTATTTCCTGTCTTTTAGCCAGTTACCAATCTACAAGAACACCTGTCCTTTTATTCCATGACCGCTGAGTGTGCTCAGAAGCCAGTGGTGAGAGATTTTGTCAAAGGCTTTTTGAAAGTCTATAATGTTTGTTGACTTATCCCTGTCAACACACTTGTCGACATTCAAAAAGCAAATGCCATGTTTGTTCCATTTCGGCAAAGCTGATTCTTCTGGACCTTTGATTATTTGGGGCGTTAGTAACATTACCTCTATTTTACTAAGAATTAATGTTCAGCCACATTCAGATCCCCCTGAAAGAAACTGAGCTTCATAGCTTGCTACTGTTTTCCAGTTCTTGGCAACAAATCTTAAAGAGAAGCTGCAACTTCAATATTTTAATTCTTTAGGAAACCTAAAAATGGATGGATATCTCCTAGACTCATGAATTATTTATTTTTCACGTGTCAAGTTTATAACTGTATCTTTGGTTATCTTATTTTGCCTTAATTCATATGATTCCATTCCTGAAAAACTCAGCTCAATGTGTAAATAATTTCATGTTCTTTTAACTTAGAATCAGTTGATCCAGAAGATTATTCCTC